CGTGTCAACATCCCAGGAAGGCAGATGACATCAGAGATTCCCCGGAATCCGATCGGGAGGAGAAAAAGGGATGAGAAAAGGGTCGTCGCTTGAAAAAGAATTGATGACCCGAGCACACCTCTACCGCCGTTTAATGGTCTCCATTTACGGGCAGGGATCCGTCACAGGAGACACGAGCTTTTGAAAAGGCCCTTCTCACAAAGAAGGAGTTCCCAGGAAGGGGAATTCAAAAGGAGCTTCCGATTCCTTCCTTTTTTTTTTATATCATCATCATCGTCGGACGGAGAGGGCATCGATCAAGTCCGGATAATTCCCTCAATTACGTATGCATGAGGTTTTCTCTTTCCCTTTTTTCCCCCCCGTCACAAATTTTTTTCCTCCTCCCTTTTTTTTTTTTTTGGTCATTCCCGACGGAGTCAATGAGATTATGCCGAATTAGATTTTCTCGAATTCTGTCACCTCAGAAAAAGAAACGAACTCGATCAATCTGGGTGGGTTCAACGGTGACGCCAACGGCGACATCAACGGCGTCAGATCGCACCGCTTTTGTTTTCACGCACTTTCTCGTCTGTCAACCGAGTCCAATTAACCCTTCCGTCTGTCTTTTTTTTTTTAAACAAACAAATGCCCTCGTGCATGTCACACACGTTATTTACATAGGCTAATGGAAGTCATGTAAAAGCAACAGCTTTGAAGAAAACGTGACGTTGTCAGGAGAGGAAACAAAGGCTCGCTCCTTGTCAATAATTCACTAGATGAATAAAATACCCGAGACCCACGCATCAATAAGTGACGCGTGCAATAATGGGACTTCCGCGCTGCTTTCTTGATGTGAACGCGGCCAATGCCCAGTGTGAATGTGTGGCCAATATCCAGTGTGAATGTGTGGTCAATATCCAGTGTGAATGTGTGGCCAATACCCAATGTGAGCATGTCGAACTTGGCACGCCCCGTCGATGGACGGTTAATTGATAATTCGCAGCACGTCCTACCCGCTCGTACGTCATCCAACAGCTGGTAATTATTTTAATCAGATCCGCGTTTCCGATCCGTCCGTGCCTGTTCGGTCCTGAGTTATAGGGGGGGCGGGGGGGGGGGGCTGCGTGACCAGGAAGTTGAGACTCGGTTGTAATTCGGTTCGAAAGGGTTCGGTGAAATTCAATTTGGCAGGGACGGTGACTTTGAGGGATGGGTGGGGGATTGCAAACTCGTCTAGAAGGAAAAACAGGGGATGATTGCATCGTCAGCCGCAAAACTTTCGAGAACAACTTTCCGTACTTCGTTATGGGGGGGAGGGGAGGGGCGGATGGGGGGCGGGGGGGAGTATTGATTTATGGGTGTTTATTCCTGGAGATGCGTCGCCAATATTCGTGGGGGGAATCGCTCGATGGTGGAAAGGCGTGTTTGCCTTTTCCTCTGGCTGTGTCATTAATCATCCGCCTTGAACGACATCTTCATCTGGAGACAGAGACGAATGCCCAATAACAATCCAATTAGGAGGTTCGTTAGAGGCCTTCGCGGGGGGAAATTCCATTAGGGGGGATCCTGGGTCTTGGCAGGAGGAAGTGGCGATTCAGACCCGGATTCGGTGGTAAACAAAAAATTTTTTTTTTTTAACTGAGTTTTACAATTTAGCATACAGGATTTGGAAGGTGAAATTGATTCGAAGACTCGAAGAAAAATCGAAGATTGATGGTAATATATAATCCTGTTGGGTCCCGGGGTGAGCCCCGAACAGGCCGTGTGTTTTTTTTTTCCTTTCTGCTTTGCGTGCTGGATACTCGTGGGTATTCAATTATCTTTTTTTTCCCTCAAAGTAAATTGCAAGAGAGCTGGAATGAATTTCGTGGCTAAGTCGCAGCTGCACCCCAGTCAACACCCCGTTGAGTGCTAGGTGAGATCACGTGCTTCTTTTTTTGGCGGTAGATGGCAGCACAGTAGATGACAGGACGTAGTGGTAGGTGCGACCAGCGGTCAACCCATGTTGCTCAGGCAACAGGTGGCAACCACGGAGTCTTCTCGCAAGAGACGAATCCCGATTCTCGGATCCTCCGAGAGGGAGCCGTCAGGGGCTCTGAGGCCCTCGAGGTCAAGCCGCCGCTCTGGGTCAGCTGCCGTGCTGGCCTTCGCCCACGTCTCAACCCCCCGGCGCGGGGGGTGATGGGAAGTCCAGGGAAAAGGGGGGAACCTGCCGGATTTCTCGGGGACGTGACTGGATTATTAGACGCTTTGCTGGGTGAAGCACATGTCTTCCTTATCGGGAGCGGCTTTTTCCTTTTTTTTTTTTTTCGAAACCAGGGTTCAAATCGTAGGATGGAGTCGATTAGGGCAATTGTGATTTCTACAGAGGCGGCTCGGCATAAAGGCGTGTGTCTACAGTCCACACAGCTGCCTTTGAATGAGGGAAAATCAAGCTAATGCAAAATGCCCCGACGTAATTAGGCTAATGCTTCGTCGACGCTGTCAATGCATGGCACGCAATTTTTCTTGTCAGTCATTTCATCATCGCTATGCAATTGGCGCCTTTCGAAGAGGATGCAATCCGCCCTATGCTAATCGATTTGAAATGCAAACGTGAAAAAGAGTTTTATATCCACCGGGAGATGGCAGCACTGAGGTCACAGAGGAAGCATTGGTCAATAATGAACCGTCTCACCGGTGCCTGACCCGGATAAAGCATGCTTACTCGATCTCCCTGCACCTAACACCACCCTGCACTGTAAGCAAGCTCGAGTACTGCGGCAGGCCGCGGCCATGCTCAGCAAGGGGCACTAGCGTCCTCCCCTCCCGGATTCTCGATCGCCTTCAAGGCCGCCTGGTGCACACGGCGCATTGAACAGATTGCGATCAAACCGACTATATATCTATTCGCGTTGGGGGGTCGCATTCGGTCTGATCCTGATTCTATGTCGGGGACGGAGTCTGTAACCTGAAAAGTTTCCGTGAATGACTGGTTACGTCAGAGCGAAGGTCTCACGAGAATCAACTGTTGATTGAACCTTGAGCAGCGTGCAGCATGATCGTGCATTCCGTGCGAATGTAAATTTTTTCCCCTCGCCAATGTTAGGCAATGTCAGGCATGAATCCTCGTCACGACGAAGGCGAGCATGAGGTCGGGCAGAATCAGCTGCATCGCCATCCTGTCCGCCAACCTGTTCGCGAGGGATCCGTCTCATTCGGCCGCGCGAGCAATTCCGCTTGCGTTCCATGCTGCATGCTTGCGTATGGAATCTCGCGGTCCTTGATTTGTATGCAATCGATACTGTACATGTGGCAGTACTTTTATTTTTTATTCATGTACTGGTTGCTATGTCGACGTCATCGGCTTGGCAAATACAAGGTTATCGAAAAAGTATTCCGGAATTTCAATGTTTAATATATCTGTAAAATCGAGACATGTAAAATGATGTTTGTATCAGAATAGGTAAAAACTCTCCAAGTTTTTATCCTCACCTTTCCCGCGCAATGCTGGTGTCGCAGTGATTGCTGATGCGCATTATTAGTTGCGCGGTGGTATTCACGTTAAGTGCCTGACCCCAGTCAGTGAGATGGCGTCGGTTCAGCAAAAAGTTCGGTCTATTTAGTCAAGTGTGACCGTTCAACGTAATTTTCGACGTACCTTCGGAACAGAAGCGCCTACTGACAAAACAATTACTCGGTGGTTTACTCAGTTTAAGGAAACGGGGAGTGTTGAGAAGCAGAAATCAACCACGAACATCCGAAGAGACTGTGGAACGCATCAGTCGGAGCCCCCAATAATCTATCGCTCGTCACAGTTTGGAACTTGGTGTACCTAAGACTACCATCCAGAATGTGCTGCATAAGCGCCTAAAATCACACGCGTATATAATTCAACTAAAACATGAAATTAAAGGCTGACCGTCCGAAACGTGTCGAACTTGCTAATTTCATGTTAAGTGAAATTTATGACAATGAAGGCTAAATTTTGTGAAGAATCAAATTTTCAGATTTTCTACACATTTTCTAAAAATATATATAAATGAGTTTTGTTCCGTATTTAAAGAGATATTAAATTTTGAAATCCCGGAAATCTTTTTCCGATGTTATCGATATTGAGCATTTGCCGAGAACGTTTCAAATCTGTCAGGATTTCGCGATCAGTTGGGATGAGATCAGCTGGAAGCGACAGTTAGACACATATCGAGGGGCATGAGACGTATATAGAGGGGCATGCCACATATATAGAGGGGCATGCCGTCGTGGGAACGGCATATGGCATCGTCGTATTTCATCCCACTTGGCAGGGCCGCGGAAGAAGAAAGATGACTCCCGGTTTTTTTTCGTCATTTCCCGACGCAGCAGGATCGAGGCCTTCTCCGAGGCCTTTTCTGAGGCCTTCGATCGTTTACCTGGGGAAAATGGGACCAATGTGAGGGGGGGGATGAAATGGTTCAACATGGAGAAATTGAGTGCTCACGTGATCTCATGAATAATATACTGTTTCCGTCCAGGTTTTAAAGCGGATCCATTGCGGTACAGGTGACTCACGAGTGACTTACAGGTGACTTTCCCAGTAGCCGTGAGCCTGACAGGTGTCCCGATCGGGGCACGCCCCGTTCTTCGAAGAGAATCGAAGATCGATGGTCGAGGCTGTCTCGCCGAGAGACGGATAGGGTGAGGATTGCAGGCTGGAATCCCTCCAAGACTGAGATGGTCGAGGCCGCCTTCGATGGTCGAGGCCGCCTTCGATGGTGGAGGCCGCCTTTGCGGGGTGTCGGTGGACATAGTAAAAAATGGGAATTCGAAAACGTGGCGAAAAAAAAAAGGAGGGAGAGCGAGTGGAATCAGTTCTGAGAATATTGCAAAAAAAATAGCAGGAAGCGGTAATGAAGAAAAACAGCGCCTGCAACAAAGACAGGCGGAAATTTGTATTAAAAAAAAAGGAAAAAAAAAGGAAAACAGGAAGCCGCAAAAACCATGTAAGAGCAGCTGCTGCGACGGTAACAAGAAAAGCAGCAAATGTAGAGGGAAAAATGAAAATGAAGTGCGAGGAGCAATCCTCGGAAAGCCTCTTCCGTGATTCAAAAGCGATGAGGCCTTCCATTGCAAGTGATGAGGCCTTCCAGTCCCATTTCCATTTCCCATCCCCTCTCGCGTGCGTTGCATGAGGATGCGAGGCCATCTCATCCGACTTTTTTCTCATCCGAACGGGGGGGGGGGGGGGGGGGGGGGGGGGGGGGAGGGGGGGTTGCCGTCCTCGTAATTAATATCTCGGACGATATCGCCCTCGCGATGTCATGTCGGCCCCTTCGTCGGCCCTTCGTCATGCGACATGACAATGATCGCTAATGCGATCGATGAAAAAATGTTTTGTTTTTACATATGAATTGCAACATTACTGTTATTTTTTTAATACTTTATTTTATCAGGGAGATGAGAAGGTCGGTGAGGGAGGACGAGGTCGAGGGCGACCCGGTGCGGTCGTCCGTGACCCCTCTGAGGTCATCCGCGACGCCGTCGCAGCCGCGGACGCCCGTGATCCATCGGCACGGCCTCTGCCATCATTCCAGGGCGCAGGATCCCACGACAGGTCTCCTTTATCATATTATTAATATTATAGAATTTACATGTTATTAATATGTTTATGTAATGATATACGTTATAAGTTAAGTAATAAGCATATTTATTATATATTTATATTATATATATTCAATTATATATTATATTCATTATATATTCATTATATATATATTATATCAATATATTATATTCAATTTTAGGAAAATAAACTGTGGTTGGTGGAATTCGGGATTGGTGGGAAAGAAGTGAAAATAATATAATTAATATAATTAGTGCATCAAGGATCTGTAGAACTGGACTAAGGAAGACATGGATTTTATGGATAATTTAATGGGAAAAATTAATGGTACGGGTGAGAGGGAAAGGAGATCTCACGGCAGCTGACTTTAAATTCAATGCGGGAGGCGAAGAGAAGCTGTTGAAAAGATTTTTTTTTTTTTTTAGAGGAGGGGGGGGAAAAAAGGCTCTCTAGAGGTGAGTGACTCGGGGAGAAACCGGTTCGGCCAGGTACTCATGATTGATGGCTTGGTACCGGAGATCCCACAAAAAAATATCTAAAATAAAACAGGGGCACACACGCCCACTCGGGCGTCTCGAAGGAGAAATTTTTTTTTTTTTTCCTCTATCGCGCCGAGTCATCGAGGGAAGTCCGATGCTGCAATGTCCCTCTTTTTCGGGGCCCGATTACGACACTCTCGCTGGGATGGGAGGCAAAATGGGAGGCAGTCATCCGCTGCTTCTTCCCATTCAATGCTGCCGTCGATCCATTCTCCTCGTGCTGCGTCATCCGGGGAGGGAAAGGATTCGCAGACTTCTCGGATTTGCGATCATATTAAATCTTCAGGGGATTTGCGATCGAGTTATTGCGAGGCGATCGTGGGATCGATGGTTTCATGAATGGCGATCGTAGGATCGATGGTTTCATGAATCATGAGAATTTTATGGGAAACAAATTTAATTATTTCTTGGAACCCGTTCTCAGTTTTTTTTTTATCCGTTTTTTTTTTTGCTTTTTTTTTCCCTATCAACGTTCGAAGTCAATACTTTGTACTGACTCAGTACTTGGTACCTCCTTTGGCGAATGCAGGCGCGTCTCATCCCCATTGCGAGGGCAATACCCATCGCGAGGGCAATTCCAGTTCTAATCACAGCACCGGACATGCGGCAGATGCGGGGATATTGTAATTATTCCCCCCAGATGATATGAGGTCATTCGTATGTGCGGGACATCTCTGCAGATGTGTATTCGGCACACAATATACCCATAGAAGGCCCGGGAAGGCCCATGTTTATGCCCCTGTTAGGGTCGCGTGCCGCCTCCCATTACGGACCGGAATGGATGGACCTCTGGCTTCCTGCTTGTAATGGGAAACTATCCGAAAAAAATAAACTCGAGAACAGGTAAAAAAAAAAAAACATTCTTGAAGCCAATTGTTGATTATAAGCACCGTCATTATCGTCCATTTATTATATATCATATCGTGACTATCAAGTCAATATTTACTCGTAATTGTGTTGCCAGCGAAAAGTCTGCAAGAGCAACCCTCTCGTTCATCTCACATTTTTTTCTCACATTTGTGAGCGGGACAGGTTCCCCAGCCGTGCCGGACTGAACCCCATTCCGCGTCGGACTCCATTCCGCGTCGGACTCCATTCCGTGTCGGACTCCATTCCGTGTCGAAGCCGAGCCGTCGTCCACCCACGACGACGATGATGACGAAGGGAAACTTAATCCGGAATAAAAGGGCGGGGTGTTTGGGAAGAAGAAACCGTTAAGACCATTACCATCAATTCCCATTATCGACAGCGTCATCTCCCTTCTGTTAATATGAATGGGCCCTCCCCTCTATTATCTGCGAGATTGGCCGCTCTCTCTCTCTCTCTCTCTCTCGCGCGCCTTGAGAAAACTCGGAGGAAGACTTGAAGAAGACTTGAAGGAAGACTTGGAGGGGAAAAAGCCCTCTCCCGCTGATTTGTTTTCATCGTTCGGTTCATGTTTTATTCCGAAAGGCCGAGAGGCAGTCGGTGTTGGGGGATGTCAAGCCGGATTGTTTGCTCTGAAATTATGGGACTTCATACGTGTATGCCCTTCAGATGCAGGCCTTTCGCGAGGACCTGCAGGCTTTCCACGAGGACCTGCAGGCCTTCCACGAGGGTTCGGAGCTCGTTCGACGTCTCGTGCGGTGATTTCACTTTCGTGCAACCAACGGGAGGAAATGCAGCAACCATGCAAACGCCGCCATTTCACTCTGGAAGGAAATGCAGCAACCATGCAAATGAAACCATTTCACTATGGAGGGAAATGCAGCAACCATGCAAATGAAACCATTTCACTGCACACGACTGCATTAAGTACTGTCTCCAAGCCTTTTTCTTCACGGTCCTCATAAATCAGACAAGATTCCTCCCCCCCCCATCACAGGCTATTTTTGGCTACTTTTTGGCCCTTTTCGCCTCGTTGTCCCCCAGTACCCCGATCATCTGGATTGATTAATCATCGAGGCGCCCACAGAGGCGTAAAGGCAACGAGGAAATGGGATCCGGATTGGATCAGAAGCGACAGACAATGGAAGAATGGAAGGCGACTCGCACAATAGATAGCCAAAAAGAATAGATAGCAAAGAAAAAAAAAAGAGAAAGCGTATATTTCCTGCCATACGGAGACGGCTCTGAAAAGCTTCGTCAATTAATCCTCTTCCTCGGGACAGATTCCCTGGCATCTGATTTCCTGGCATCGCGAGGCAAAGAGGAGCAGAAACAGGAAATTCCCCGCTTCCGCCGCTCTTGTTCCCCGTGCCAAGAATTTCCCGGCCTGGTGTTTTCGGTGATGAATGGAGCAATCTGTCTGGGAATGTCGGAGGCCTTCGAGGCCTTCGCTTTTCAGGCCCCTGATTTTTTATCATCGAGTCATAAAGCCACTCCAGTGGAGCGTGGCATCGCTATGGCTTACTTTGCCCATCCATCCTTTGGCATTGGCATTGGCTATTGGCAGATATAAATGTCTAGCGACATCAAGGTCGCTCCATGAAATCCTGAAATATGTTACTGTTTAATTTATTAAGCATTATTTATTATTAATAGTAATTCTAAATATGAAACAGTTAAAGAGTAAAGAGCGAAGCAAGCGAAAAATTTTCCAGGAGAAAAAAAAAAAGTTGAGCAAAAACAGCTGATTCATTGGAAGACAAGCGTTAATCGCAGAAAACAGGAAGAAAGAGCCTGATCACCCATTGTTGTTTACGGCTATTGTTGTTTACGGCCATTGTTGTTTATCCCCCGTATGCACTGCCTAATGGCAGCGGATTTTGGCAAGGGGGGTCCGAACGCCCGCGGGGCCCGCGAAGTGAGTAATGCACCTTTTTTTTATGGCACGAGGGGAAAGTGCATTGTTATGGGGATCGTAGCTCATGGAACGCCAGACGCAACAGAATGGGGATTATTTATTTTCTTGTAAGTTTTCTCCTTTGTCCCGCGGGTGTGCCGTATCGCGATGCCGTATCTCTTTAGAGATATTCCAATAAGGGCGTGTCTTTATCTCTGCGCTCGATCTGGTCTTTTGGTTTCGAGTCGAATCACGTCCGATTTTAGCGTTGTGACGTCACGAACCACGTGCTGGGGGGGGGGCATGCTTGTTTACTAGCTGTGACGTCATCATTGCTTATTTACTACTTCCCCTCCCCCCCAGCAATCTTGACGTCGTGAGTGTGATCCCCGACCGAAAGCGTTTCCTGATCTTGAAAGGCCCTTGCACTTGGACAAATTGATCGACGTATCCAAAGTACCAGACTCAATTTGCAAATTGCTTTCATTTTGCAATAATAAAAAATGGCCGGAAACCTTTTCACTTAATGAAAGTGAATGAAGCAGCCGACAAAGCCCATCATGGATAAAGATAATTCCCGGTTAAGAATTCGGGAACAGGGAAAAAGTTTTGCCTCCAAAAAGGTTCTGCTCCAAAATGGTTCACCTCCGAAAAGGTTCTGCTCCAAAATGGTTCGCCTCCGAAAAGGTTCTGCTCCGAAAAGGTTCTGCTCCAATTGTTTACCCCCAGGCATGCCCGCTCTTGGCAATCGGCAATATCATTTTTTTTTTTTGCAGCCGATGATCAATCCGGGCTCTCCCTGAAACCCGATCCTGTAATCACGATTTGAGAGAGGCCGGCTTTTCCTTCTTCTTTTTGGCGCTAATCGCTTTTTATCCTCTGGGGCCTTTTTTTCCGGATTCCCGTCACGCCCCGGCAATGAGAGTGAAAGCCCTTTGCCTTGTCAAGGCCCGAAGGCCTTTATTCGTTCGGCGAGGTCGATTTTGTCCTGATCGCGATTCGTCCGCTCGTGCAATTTGTTGATTTTAAAAATATATAAATGTGGGTAATTTAAAAAATTTCCCTAAGGGCATAGGTATTTTATCAAGCCCAGCCGCAAAAATTGTAAATACATATTTATTTTCGCCGATTTATTTCTACTCTTTCCTCTTAAAAAATGATTCAACGAAGCCCCGAAAACAGAATCGATTCACCGCGAATGCCTTACCCCTTGCCACTTCCCCACCCAGAAAAAAGGCCTGCAGTGCATCAAAGGGGGAGAAAGTGGTTGGGGGGGGGGGGGGGGGGGGGGGGGGGGGGGGGGGGGGG